GTTCAAATATTGGTTACTAGTTAATCTTTTAAATATAAATTGCCTCCAAACTTGGCTTGCTCTCTCTATTTTCTGTTTCGTTTAAATATAACAAGATATTGTTATCCAATTCAAACATCTCTCGTATTATTTACGATAAATTTTGTTAAAGGGCTAGTAAATCATGAGAATTTATGTCAAAAAAGAAGAACTTTAACCGTTTTAGAGGCATCAATTTATTTATTAATTGAAATTGTACAAATTGTGAACAACGATGATTTTTATTAATAACGATTTCTCATAATTTTATTATACTTCAATACTTATTTATTCTGAATAATCTTTTATGTACAAATTATGAAAAATGATGATTTATATTAGTAACGATTTCTTATAATTTTATTATACTTCAATACTTACTTATTCTGAATAATCTTTTATGTACAAATTATGAAAAATGATGATTTATATTAGTAACGATTTCTTATAATTTTATTACCCTTCAATACTTATTTATTCTGAATAATCTTTTATGTACAAATTGTGAAAAATGATGATTTATATTAGTAACGATTTCTTATAATTTTATTATATTTCAATACTTACTTATTCTAAATAATTTTTTATAATAAGAAGATTTTCTCTACTCTTACGATTTGATTTTAATTCAACAAATTAATGAGACCTCTGTGGCAAACTGTTTAATCAAAGAAACGATAGTAATTGACACTTTCGATTGAAACGAGGGTTAGAACAACAGCACCCTATCGACCTCGTTCGACATTTCGTAAGATCAATCAAGAATGATGTCAGCACTTTTCGAAGAAACTTTTTGACCCTGTTAGATAACAAAAGCTTACACGTTATACTCTCGTGAAGATCAGTCGTGATCCATGCAATATCCCCGCAAAATAATATTTGCACATTTCGACACTACCTGGCGATAGAAATTTTTCTAATTTATTATACAGTATTTAATGCGTGACAAGCTTGGGCATTATTCGTGTAATATATTTCAGAAATGATGAGATTTGTTTAAATGTTGCTAGATTTTATTTACTATACTAGATCGTATTAGTTGTTAGATTATTTTATTTGAAATAATTTCGGACATGAAAATGATCGTTTCATTACTTGCTTATCAAACGATGTAACGTTTTATTTTATCGTTTATTGTAACATTTGAACAATAAATTTCATCGTTTATTTTACATTTAGATAACAATTTCTCAAATGTTCTGTAATCCTTGATTTAGATAATTTGTTATTTTATTCGAACTCGAACGAGTTGGATCTCACACTAAATAAAGCCTATTGTTCGGCGTGTTGTTTCTAAACTAAATTAGATGAAGTAATTTAGTATTCCTATCATATTTTTATTTCTCTCCAAACGAAACGTGCTCAAGCCTGAGACGCGCGTGAATCCCGAGAACGGAAAGCTGCACGAAGGATAACGGAAAATCACGTCTAAACATAGTTTAGGCAATTCCTAACATTCCTGTAGCGTTCGTCGTCGGGCAAGAAGAAACGAGAGAAGGAAAAAGAATTTATCCAAGTAGGAAAAAAAAAAAAAACAAGAAATAAGCGCAAAATAAGGAAAAAAAGAAAGAAATGAAAAGAAATTAAACAGAAATCGAGAAACGAGATAGGAGCGAATGTTTAAAATTCTGAGAGATACTGCAAGAAGGGTAAATGCTCGAAGAAAGCCATGATTCTGTCTATATTTAACTGCATCTTCCACTGATACTGTTTTTAAGTAGAACACGTCTACGAGCTATCAACGTGAACTGCTTAGATGATCCTTTTCAGAGAAAGTACTTTCGACGTTAATTAAACATCTCCAACCCATTTCAAGTTATATTTTTGTTAGCATTTGCTTCTTCAAATTCTAACGAAATTCCCGCGTTTATTGCGCGTCAATTTAATTTGTTTTATTTTATACAATTTCATTTGCATCTTTGCGATTTTCACGTATTGTAAGAAATGTAGATTGTACAAGTATAATCATTGAACGATGGTCGACGATGGTTCAACGTTGTGTTTTACTAATAAAACTTTCATTTGCATCGCTGCATCAGCAATATTTGCATATCGTGAATGTAACGTAAATCTAATGTAAATATATCGTACAATCGTTGTATTTGACGATGATTAAAATTATTAAATGAATTAATATACATACATGGCACATATACATGGGTGTATATGGATGGATGTAAAATGTGGAGGGTTTGTCACGCATTAAAAGGCACGACCCCCGACGCACGGCTTCTCTTGTATCATCGTCAGGGCTTCCGATCAATTTGACATAGAGAATTTGCTGGTTCTGTGGTTCAACGTGACAAGTTAAGCGATTCGAAAGAATTATAGTTATACGGTTATCACGTAGCTGCGGGGAGCAATAACTGTACCATTAACGATGAAAAATTGTGCCGATACTCTAAACTGTTATAACTTCTTGTGCAAAGATCTTGTATAACGTTCCACTTGGTCTCATTTTAAAGCGCGAAGCCTCCACATTGACAATCCTGAGTTCGCATTTTTTTCTTTTGTTCTTTCTTCCTAAAGGACTGATTTATTCTAATTCGTTACACGTTTTTTTGGAAAATGTGAAACGCGATGTTTCGTGAATTTATTCCTCCATGGAATTGGAAACGATTGTTCTACTTTTTTTTTTTCTTTCTGTTACACTAAAGGATGCTCGCCCTCTCTGTTCGTGTTTGCACTCGATTTAAATCGAAAGTTATTCGTTTAAACTTTTCCTCGAGCAAACCGCTGCCCACCATTTACAGTCTGCTTCCGCACGTGTGCTTTTCATTTATTGAAATAAACTTATCTTTACGATCAGCGCTGCTTTAATATCGTCGACTGTAATCACTTGTTTCGTTCGTCAACTAAATGAAATAATTATAAGTCTCTCCGGTAACGAGGTAGGATAATATTATACAATACTCGTCTTCAGAGTTATATTTCGTCTGTCATGTTATGCTTATTCTACTTCGTAATAAAAACTGCATACGCGTATTCAATTTAATACTTCTGTAATATTCTGTGGATTATTTTCTTTTTAAATTCATTATGAAATGAACATACCGTACAACTTTTAGTTATTTAGTTATATATTCTCACATAATGATTGAATTTAGCTTTTATTAATATAAAATATCTATCTTAATATAATCAGTTTATCTATCTTAATATAATAAAGAAATGCAATAATAAATTAGCTTTTATTAGTATAAAATATCTTAAATATATGTTATATAATAAAAAATAAATATTATATAATAAAATATAATAAATTAGCTTTTACTAGTATAAAATATCTATCTTAATATAATCAGTTTATCTATCTTAATATAATAAAGAAATGTCATAATTAAAAATTAAATTATTGAATTTAATTGAAATATAAAATGAGCGTAATATTCAACTTGTTACAATAAGTTGCCTGCCATAAGCTTGACAAGTAAAAATCGTAGAAAATCGAGTCGATACATTGCGACGTTAATTTATCTATGTTTAATAATAATTCTTATAATAATAATTAATAATATGTATAATAATAATAATAATACATTTATTAATTTATCTATCTTTATATATCTTATAATAATAATTATCTTGACAACTTATCTATCAAAAAATGCCGCTATTAAGTGCCGTGAATAAAATTGAAAGATAAATTCACTTATTATTAAGTTGAAATTGAATTTCAACTTTTCAGACGATCAATCAACAATTGCAGCACGTCAATTTAGAATGAAGGAACGGTGTCTTTGTTGAAAGTTAAATTTCACCTTTCAACAACAATTCATGCAGAGCAGATTTATTCAACTGTGAGATTTAGTCAACTGATTTATCGTTATTTATGCTTGTATGTGCTTGTTTTCTAAACGACTGACCGCTGGAAATGGATTTTCACAGAGAAAAGATAAAATAACAGTAACAGAGATGGGAATAAAGAGTGGGTGCAGGATGTGCGATCGATTGCCGGCTACCGCGGAACCACGTGACGGGGTGCGGTATTCGTGACGTCATGGAACTCCTGTTTCATTCGTTCTATCGACATACTCGCCTCTGTCTTTTTCTCTACGTCCATTGTTTATTCAACGCTTAATTGATTCAAAACTCTATTTATTCCATTAATCTACACGTGCAATTTTTTTATAAATTTCCCCACGGGCGTTAATTCTGGGGAACTTGGCATGAAAGAGAAACATCTCTTTTTATTTATTTATCATCTTACTTTCTGTGTGAATGTTTGTTCTGTATGAGACAGACACTATTTTTTGAAAAAAAAAACACGTATCTTTTTATTCTTTTTTTTATACATTTACTACTGTGATATTACATTTTGCATTAATTTTTTATTTGTTATGTTAGTATATATTCTTTTGGGAAAATTAAAGAGAATCGAAGCACGTGCAAATAACAACGGGGGAAGTGTAACCAGTCCAGTTCCAAAAATTTATTATACTTGTATTTGATGAGCTACTTGCACTAGCAATTAATACTCAATCAGGTCAAGTTTAAAAAAACTTACAAATCCAGTGGATCTCTTTAGTTTAGGTCTGTATGATTATTTTTAGATCCATAGGCTAGATTTAAGTTATCATAAATTCAGATGCAGCCTTTCATCTTATTAATAGAATTGATGAGTCGACGTACGAGTGGAAGACAATTCTCGATTTCTTAACCTTCACCTTACGTTATTCAACCCTGAACCATCCTCACTTTACGAAGCCAACATAGTGCAACTACCTCTTAGGTAGTTATGCATCATGTTATGAGTTGCTGGCTCGATCATTTACCCCTTTGATCTAAGATCGCGATAAATATCGAGTGACGATCGAAACTAGATTATGCATACACATTATTTTCTTTTCAATTTATCTTCTACGAAATCGACATAAAAAATAATAACCGAAAAAACGAGATTTGAATTGAAAGATTTATACAATCACGTAAATGTTGATGAATTTTCATTTGCACTAACGCTTTGTGACTTCGTATTTCAGGCTTCTTGTCGTGGGATAAGGATAGCTGTCACGTAGATTTAGAAAAAGAATTACTTGCGCTGGTGGCACAAGCTCCCGAAGGAGAAGAAGCTAGAAATGGTATAAATTTTCAAATTCTATCTACTAGGCTACAGATTTATATCTACAGATTGTGAATAGAACTTTGAATATTCAATTTTATTTTGTATTTGACAATTTTTCGTTAGATGTCAAACTAGATAGTTTACAGGTACTTTATCCCATTGATCACAGATAAAGTTCAATAAAATTCCAAATTTTAAAATTAAGTGTGAAATTGTTAAGTTGTTACAATTAACATAAAGTGTTGCAATTCCCCATGGTCCGATGATACCAGTTAAGAATGAAAATAAACGATTATAATTATATATCTTTACTGTTATTTCGAGCAGAGTACCTGTTGTTACATCGTGTTAGGTCGTTTTATTTGTTGAAAGAAATGAACTTTCAGGCGAACGACTGATCCAATACGCTACTGAGAATCTTGTTACGGAAGTACTGATCCACCCGCAAACGAATACATTATTACAATGTATCCGTAATCTCCTGGCAAGTTTTACAAAACACCGGCATATTATACACGGTGGATATACCTTCGGTGGAAATGGTTCCTGGATACTGCAAGTACGTGTGCGCTGATTACACGATCTACAATCATAATTTTCATTTGTCATGTTACTAATTTTATTGAATAATTAACTTATAATTTGTTAATTGTCATTTCTATTTTCGATAAACTATAAAACTAATAACCACGTTCAAATGTCACGCATCCAGGATGGAACCTTCAGCCTTGCCGATTTCTTGGATGCATTTAGTGAACACGAGGTGCAAAGAGTTCTTCGTGCGTACGAGAACAGCGTCACGGTGGACATTCATTGCGCGAGTGTCGGCGATTGGACAACAAATAGACTTTCCAAGGAAGCTTGCACTAGGTTTGTACTTTGTTCGTTCAATAACATATCAGAATTTAGATGTTCTTTTCAGTTAACACTAGAACTATTAAACTGATCAAAATGATACAAATTCTAAAGATTAGAAATGACACGTTCAGAGACTTGAATTTATGTAAAAAAATATCTATGAAAACTCTAAATAGAATTCTCAGTCTTTAATAAGTAAAAATTACAAATGGCCTGAGAATCTGTAGTCTATCGATTGAGTTTTATTAATTTATATTTAATTATATTTAATTATATTGTCTTTTCATGGTGCAGATCCTGTCGAGTCAGAGTGAATCCCGATGACGTTCTCACCGCTGGATTACCAGCGATCACCAGTTTCACGAATTACGTTGGACAGTATCTCGTTGCCCAGACACTGGACCAACTTATGGAGCCGTCCGACGTCGTTGGCAACATAAGATTTAGTCATCCAACATTGTACGTCTTCCCCGGTGGTCAAGGTGATGCCGCGTTGTTCGGCATAAACGGTTTTAACATGCTGGTGGACGGCGGTTTCGCCAGAAAGGCCTGTTTCTGGGACTTTACCAGACATTTGGACCGTCTCGACGCGGTCTTAGTTACTAGAGTAAATAACAGCAATGTCGGCGGTATGTCTAGTGTCCTCCGGAAGAAAAAGGAGATGCACGTCTACCCTCAAATCGGACATTTCTTCTGCAATCTAATCGTAAGTTATGATTAATCTACTTGTCAGTGTTCGTTAAATTAGCTTTCTTGATCAACTTTCTCTTTTAAATTGAAAACAAGAGAAGAGTGATCATATTGGTAATATTAAATTAATTTCTTTAAAAAAGTGATTACAAAAATTTAGGATTTTAGTTTAGTTCATACCTTACATTCTTCGTATCTGAGATTGGTAATAAATTATAATCCACTTGAAAGTTAATTTTTTAAATTATATTAGGATCTGTCTCGTTTGATTTATTTGCGTCTTCTTGTCATAATAAATAAACTTGACAAAATAACTTATTGAAAATTGAAAATTTAATATTGATAATATTGACTCAACATTATTAATCTATGATGCGTAATATTGCAACATATTAATGTTATATACTCGATGTATCAATTCATTAATATTAATCATATGCTTACATTAACGTCCTCCGTAATAAAATTAATAAAAAAAAACTGATGAAAATATGAAGTTGATCATCTTAGTCGTTGACAGAATTTGCATAAAAATCCACGGCCTGCTAATCAGGCTTGCTCTCTATATGGTTATTAAAACTGTCGATGTTGCGTTCCCTTACGTAACAGGAGAGAAGACAATCCAATTCTCCGGACGGGGACAAAGATATCGATCCTCTGATACTGAATCTCACTGACATTGGCCAAGAGATGGTTGTCAATCTGCGTCACATCAGCCTGCGAGCGCATCCGTGCTACAGAGACCCGGACCCGATCAATCTCTATCACAAAGTAGGTCACGGCACGTTGGACATGTATGTGTTAAGCCCGAGCAAGGATAGTCGCGAGGTTCGCGAATTCCTGGCGAAATGGCACACCTCGGACTCGAAGCTGTTCGCTGGCGGTCACAAGAAAGACTCGAACAATCTAACCTTCCCGATTCAGAATCTGGTCTCGATATGCGCGTTGCTGGTTTGGCAGCCAGCGAATCCCGAGGACACCATCACGAGAATACTGTTCCCCGGTAGCACGCCCCAGCACAAGATCTTCGAGGGTTTCGAACGATTGAAACACTTGGAGTTCCTAAAGCATCCAGTCTGCTCTGCGAAGAGCCTCTCGCCGTCCGCGTCCTTGGCGACGTTACGGGACAAGCCTGCGAAGCAAAAGTTGAGCTTGATCAGCGAGAAGGAAACCTCGAAGAAGATAAGCACCGAGGCGAGGAAAGAGAAGAAAGAATCGCCGGAGATTAAGATGAAAACGACCGACGAAACGCTGGCGAAGACGCCGATCATACCGACGAAGCCGCAGGCTGTTAAAGCCGAGACGAAAGCTAAGAAAGTGATCGAGAACAAGAAGATAGAGGTGGAGAAAGAGAGTAAGAAGGAGAAAGAGGCGAAAGAAGGGAAGAAGGAGGTTGTGAAGAAGGACGTTGGGAAGGAGAAGACGGAGGAGAAATTGGAGAAACGCGAAGAGGAGCAGAAGACGGAGAAGATAACTCCACCGGCGAAGGAAGCGAAGCCGAAGGAAACTAAGAAGAAGGAAGAGAAACAGAAGAGCGCTAAACCAGGGAAGATCGAAACGAAGCCGAAGATAGTCGAGAAGAAAGTGAAACAGTCGCCCGTGGAGAAGAAGGACGCTGGAATGATAGTGAAGTCTTCCCCGACGACGCCGAAGAAAACCATAAACGGCGTGGCAACGAAGACAGAGATCTCGAAGGCGAGCGCGGCGAAAGCGAAGGCTCAGAAGGCGGCGGTTGAACCGGCAGCGAAAAGCACGAAGGACGCGAACAACAGGAAGGTAGTGGAGCAGAAGAACATTGAGAAATCAGCTATAAAGGACACGACCAGCGTGGTCAAGGTATCGGCGAAGCCTAAACCGATGGACAGAAAGCCGATTGGCCGTCGAGGAAAGCCAGTCAGTCCCAGCAAGGTGAAAGTGTCTGGCAGCCCGGCGAAATCCACTCGTAGCACGCCAACCACTTCCGTCAAATCCGACAAAGACGGCGTAGTCCGTAAAGCGAAGAGCGACAAAGGTACAGCTGACTCATCGACCGTGTCCACGCCGTCGGGAATTGAGGCTGAAACAGGCGCCAGACTTGTTGAAAAGAGCCTGATGGAACAGTCGGAGGACATTTCTTTAGATTCGATCGAGAGCAAGGTGTTGGCTGACTTGAAAGAGGAACGGGAGGTCGTCGAAGAGATCGAAGCGGTCCTTCAGAAAGCGGAACGCATCGAGGAGACAAGGAAGGACGATCGTTCAGAGGGTGACGACGAAATAACCGCGGAGCTTACTGACAAGAAGGAAGAAGACATTACCGACGATGATATAATAGAGGCTGACATGGAAGACGCGCTCAAACGGGAGCTTATCGACGAGTATTTGATCGTCGAGAAAGAGGAGGATTACATAGAAGACTCGACCCAGAGCGGCGAGGGTGAACAGAAGCATATTCTGGACGAGGCTGAGTCTGAAAAGGTGAAGATGCTGAAGGATATGGAACAGGTGAAGGAGAAAGGTGCCGAGGAAGAGGTGGAAGAGAAAGAGAAGGACGAGAGCGTAGAGAAGCGTGAGAAACAATTGGAGGAGAAAGAAGCGATATCCAAGGCCGAGGAAGAGAAAGCAGAGCCGATCGATCTGTCTCCGGATCGTAGAGAGCAACTGGAGGAGGAGGTTAAAGAGATAATCGCCTCCGCGGCGGAAACGATCCAACAAAAGCCAGAGGAGAAGGATGATTCTGGCAAGAAGGATAGCGAAGATGTTACCAAGGAACCGTCCAGTTTGAGCCCTGATAAATTGGACTCCTCCGAGAAGAAAACAACCGATACCGACTTGAAGCCTGAAGCCGACCAGAAAGAGCAAGTACCAGAGAAATTGGAAGAATCGCAGGAACGTATTTCGACTTTGGAATCCGGCGCCACGACGACGGCGCCGACGCTTCCGGAGGACGAACGCATACCGCTCGACGAGATAAAGGAAGATATCGACGAGAAGCATATTATCGAAGAAGTGAAGGAGAAAGATGTTCCGAAGGTTAAGGAAGAAGTCGCTGCCGCTGCTTCGCGAATCGTACCTCCCACGGTAACTACGAAACCGGACGTGCAAGTATTCGACGTCCGTCAAGCAGTACCGTGTCTTCAACGTGATATTGTAAAGACGCCGGACGAAGTCGCCGATTTGCCGGTCCACGAAGAGGTGGATCCGAAACTGTACAGGATGGAGGACTTCGAGAAGGACAAGGAGGAGAAGCCAAGTTTGGTGCAAGCTCAAGAGCCGGAGCAACAGGTCAAGCAACCGCCGACTCCGACTGTCAAGGAGCAGAAAGGAGTTTTCAGTTTCTTCGGCAAGGTAGCCGATAAATTCGAAAAGGGTATCGACAAATTAACTAAAAAGTCGAAGAAGGACCAGGAGAAAGATGTCGATGAGAAGTCGTCGTCCAAGTCCAGCTCTCCGAAAGAGGCGAAAGTGCAAGAGAAGACTGTACTCGAAGAAGTCGATGTCGAGAAGATGTTCCCGAAGGTTGGCAAACCCAGCGAGAAGCTCCAGGAAGCAGTTCAGCCCGAAATAGAAACCAAGATAGAGGATATCGGTAAGAAAGAAGCCGAACGTGACGTAACTGTAGAACTCGAAGACAAAGGAAAAGAAGTTAAACCTACTGAAGAAGAGGAAGCCGTGGAGGAGAAACCGAAATCTCCAGTATTGGCTCCAGTATCGAAACCCGTTGAGGAAGAGAAAGTCGAACTGAAGGAAGAAATAGTGAAACCGAGTGAAGACGTCGAGGTTGAAGAGAAGAAGGAGAAATCACCGGAGCTAATCGACACCAAGACTAAGAAGGAAGAGGAGCTTGCCGAAGAAGTAGAAGAGGACGCGGAAGAAATAAAAGCGTTGTTGGAAGAAGCCTCCAAGAAATTTAAGACGGTGAAGGACAGCCTGAGAGATTCTCTGGAATCGTTAGAGGAGAAGATCGCCGACGAGACGGCTGATTTGCTGCAGGAAGTTCCGCCACTGAAGGACGCCGTTAAAGACACGCTGGAAGGCGTGGTGGAAAAATTGGAAGCGATCAAACCGCAAATCGAGACCGCGTCTCCCGACAGCAAAGAGCCAGAAAAGGTGAAATTCCATATACCGAAAGAAGAAGATATCGAGGTGCCAACGAAAGACGTCAAAGAAGCTGTCCGAGACGTTGGCGAGGTTCTCGCTGGGACAGCTGGTATTGATATCGAAGACAAGCCTAAAGACGTTATCGAAATTGTGCGTAAGGTTGCCGAGGTTCTCAAGGAAGATGATTTCCTTCTGTTCGAGGAGCCAACTAAAAAGGAAGAAGCTGCGTCGCCACCTAAACCCGTCGCCGAAGCTGAATCGCCGCCTAAACCTGTCGCCGAGTCCGTGTCACCACCTAAAGCTAAATCACCTGAAGATAAGTCAGCCAAAATTGAGGACAAGCTTCCTGTCATACCGACGAAAGTTGGAATCACCGAGGAAATTTCTCCTTATCAGGAGGAGACTGAGGAGCTCGTTGAAGTACAAGAAGAACCGTGTGTCAAAGTTATCAAAGAAACGGCGACGATTCCGTCTGTGAAAGAAGAGAAAGACAAGCGCGACGTCGAGGAAATATGCGAGGAAATGTTGAAAGAAGATACCGAGAAGATTGTTCCAGAAACTGTAACTGCGACGGACGATTCGAAGGTGGACGTAATGGAAGCTGGACTGGAGGAAGTCTGTGTGAAGGAAACTGTGAAATCGCCAGTCGAAAAGGAGGAGAAAACTGAAGCAACCATTGAAGAGTCTGTGATAGGTTTCGAGCAGAAGGTTTCCCCCGGCAAAGCGGAAATTGTGATGGTTTCGCCTGGCTCGACGCCTACTTCACCGAAATTTGTTACAGATAAGACGCAGGAGAGCAAAGTGGACTTGAGCAAGGAAACCGGGCTTAAATTGCCTGCTGAAATAAAAGCTATTGTCGATAAGGTGGATCGTATCGTGGAAGAGATCATCGAAGAGCTTGTGATTAAGAAGAAGAAAATTACGATTGAGATTATAGAGTATATAACGATTGTTAAAGGTGTTCCAAAGGAGCGTGTAATTTATATTATTGAAGAGATTATTGTAAGGAAAGGCCTGTCGAAGGAAGATGTCGTCGATAACGTAGATATCTTGAAGCTGGAAGAATCTATCACCCCGAAATTGAAAATGGAACTTGAGGAGTATATCATCAACGAGTACGTGAAAAAAGGAAAATGTATAACCATCGAAATAGTCGAGGAGATATCGATCAGAAAGATCGTCCCGAAAGTGATCATAATCCGTATCATCCAAGAAATTATCGTTAAAAAGTTAATCGACGTTAAGACTGACGGTCTGTTTGATTCCCAACTGGAGCAGATTGATACTAAAGAGAAGAAAGAGGAAGAAGAGAAGGAGAAGGAAGACGTGAAGAAAGAAGAAGAAGAAGCAAAGGAGAAAGAGATTCCATCGGAATTAGACAAAAAGGAAGAAAAATTATCGCCAATTGAAACTGTCGTGAAATCAGAACCGAAATCTCCGGTGGAAAAGGAGATCTCGGTGGAGAAAGAAACAAAATCACCTAAAGAAGAAGATTTGAGTAAAGAGAAACTTACAGTGGAAGAAGAAACCGTTTGTTTGCCAGCTGAAGAAGAAGAAGAAGAGGAAGAAGATGTAGAAGAAGATGGTTTCGTAAGTATTAGAAAATTCTCTAAAACAGAAATACAGCTCGACGACAAGATAACAACGACATCTGCCAAACCGGACACTTTAAAAGAAGTTATAGACAAGAGACACGAGAAAGATATAGGCGACGACTTTGAGGCTGTTGAACAAGAGTATAAAGTGCGTGACGTGACTGTTACTTCCCTGGAAGAGCGTGTCATTTCACCAAAGTCAGACGAATCAAAGGAGCGAGAATACGCGGAAGAAGCTGTAGAAGATACCGTAAGCGATGTTGTCGAGGCTGATGAAAAATTCGTTCACGAGACGAAAGAAAAAACCGAGAAGAAAGAATCACCACTCGATGCAAAACCGGATAAATTGGATAAAGAGAAAGTAGAAGCGAAAGTAACGGAAGCAACGGAGTCCCTTGACACTATAGAAAAGTACCTGGATGAGGCTAAAGAGAAGAAGGAACAGAAGGTTGACGAAGCAGTACCGGAAGAATCGCTTGCAGAGAAATTGGGTGTAACTACAGTGGAGATAGAGAGGAGGAAACGTTCGATCGACGAGTTGGAAAAAGATACAGTATCCGAAGTTAGTAAGAAAGAAGCAGAAAAGATAGAGGAAAAGGAGGAATTGAAACCAGCGGAGAAAGAGGAAGCAAAGCCAATAGAAAAGAAAGAAGAAGAGAAACCAGCAGAGAAGAAAGAAGAGCCTAAACCTGCGGAGAAATTGGCTGAACCAGAATCTCCTATTCAGAAGGAGGTCACTGAAGAAATTGAACCTGCCGAAATTGCAGAAACAAAAGAGAAACTGGAGGCAGATATCGTCGACGAGGAGAAGAAGCCCGAAATACCCGAGGTGGAACGTAAGAAGAGCGTTCAAGAACTGGCCAAGGATGAGAAAGTATCTCCGGAAGTGGAGAAGATCGAAGTTGAAAAGAAGATCGAGAAAGAAGAACCGTCTAAAGAAATACCAGTTGCAGTTAAAGAGGAGAAGGTAGAAGAAAAGAAACGAGAGAAATCACCTGAAGAGGATACCTCGACTGTTCGAAGGATGTTGGTCACAGCAAGTAGCGAAGATGGCGGGCACGAAACTGAGATTTGCGCGGCCGGTACTATCGCGTTCCAAAAAATTGTTACACCTGACGATTCTCTCAAGGACGTATCCGTGAAATCAACACCTGACAAAGATTCTCTGCTTCTAGACAAGGACTCTCTGCACTCAGGGATCAGTACACCGGAGAAGGACAGTATCTCAGACAAGTCGATGAAAGATGTTGGAAAGGTAACTCCTGAAGACAGTTTGGACAAATCGCCAATTGACAGGCGTGATTCGCGCGAACTGGAAGACAGTTTAGAAAAAACGGTACCTGACAAACCAAAGGAGGCGGACAGCAGCACTTCTCCGTCTGTGATAGAACCGGAAGTTCCCAAGTCTCCGAGTTTGCAAGAGCAGAAAGAAATTCCTCAGGATCTGGTTAAAACGGCCGACGAGAAGGCGGAGAAAGTTGAACCTGTCGTGCCACTTGCTGCTGAAGCAGAGAAGAAAGAATTAGATGCGAAACTGACTGAAGAAACTTCACAAAAACCGACATCGATTTCAGAAGAACCGGCAACTGACGTGGACATTCGTAAGAAAAGTCTCGACATCACTGCGTCGAAATCGGCCGAGTCTCTTCGATCGGAGGATATCTCCCCGGCAGAAACTATTTTCGCGAAATCGCCCACGGACAAACGAGAAGAACAAACGAAGATCTCTGATCTGAAAGATGAGCCTGTAAAGTCGATGATTGAACTGTTTGATTCTGAGAAGAAGATTGGACTGCCAGAAGATTTGAAAGCAGATGTGATTAAAGGAGTGACACAGGTTGACAGTAAAATCGACGTGTCTATAAGTGAAAAGGAAGACAAGAAGGAGCCTCCTGGTGTTTCACCGAAGAAAAGTCCTGAAGAGAGTCCTGAGAAAAGCCCCGCAAAGAGTCCTGAACTAAAAGAGAGACCAATTGCTGAACCTACCAAAGCAGAAGAAAAGATAGAATCAATCACAGACCTTAAATCAGCTGATCGAGACAAGTTGGAGGAAAAAGACAGAGACAAGAAATCTCCCTCTCCGGCCCTTAGTGACAAAGATTTGCAGGAAATAAGAGAGGACGTTAAATCGCCGGATATTGAAGCAGATAAGATATCTGCCGACATTGAACAGACTGACGTAGTTGTTAAGGATAAATCCCCAATTCTAGATACAGATCAGCTTAAATCGGAGCCAGATGCGAAACCACCAACTGCAGAGAAACCAAAATCTCCCACTGCAATAGAGAAGATTGAAAAATCTGACGTCACTGTCGCGGTAATAGAAAAGAAAATCGAAGAAGAATTAGACACTTCGAAACGTCCCGTTGAACAGCCAGAAAAAGAAGCGTCACCGGAGGCACCAAAAACTCCAACTACAAGCCCCGTTCTCGAACAGTCGGAATTAAAAGCGGACGTTTCAAAAATTCCTAGCGAGAAAGCAGGCTTGAAAGATCTGATGGAATCAGAGGAGCCGTTAGAATCAAAGCGACCTAGCATTCCTAGCGAGCCACACGAGTTTGACGCGAAGGAAATAGACAAAGCTAGATCGTTCAGCATAACAAGCGCAATCGAAGAACTTGAGACTAGAGATCACTTGAAATCGCCAACTGAAGAGACTAAATTACCCGACGAAACAAAAGAGAAATCGAAATCACCAAGCATTTCGGGAGAATCGAAAGATCTGAAAGAAGTTGAAGAAAAGCTTGACAAAGTTACGTCACCTGGACACGTCGACGCAGAAACGGAAGACGAGGCAAAAGAAACGGTGAAGTCTAGAGCTGCCAGTGTCGCTAGTGTGACAAGTGTTTCAACCGAACCAAAGGACAAATCCAAGTCGCCTAGCGTTGCTGGAGAGACTCCTGATTTGAAGGAAGTTGAAGCAAAGGATGGCTCGGATAAGTCCAAGTCACCAAGTGTGACCGGTGATGTACCCGATTTAAAGGACTTGGACGTGAAAGAAATAGAGAAATCTAGATCTCCCAGTGTGACGAGTATTCCAGCCGAGGCAAAAGAGCCGCTAGACAAATCAAAGTCTCCTAGCGTAGCTGGCGAGACACCCGACTTGAAGGATGTTGAAGTTAAAGAAACAGAGAAGTCTAGGTCTCCCAGTGTAACAAGTGTCCCTGAGAAGTCAAAGTCGCCAAGCGTTGCTGGCGAAACACCTGATTTAAAGGACATCAAGGATAAAGAAACAGAGAAGTCTAGGTCTCCCAGTATCACGAGCATACCAGCCGAAGGAAAAGAACCATCGGATAAATCTAAATCGCCTAGCATCGTTGACGAAGCACCCGATCTAAAGGATCTTGAGCCGAAAGATACTGAAAAGTCCAGGTCTCCAGTGGAAGCAAAAGATACATCGGATAAGTCGAAAACACCAAGTGTTGTTAGCGAGACACCTGATCTGAAGGAAGTTGAAGCAAAAGACGTTGAGAAATCCAGATCTCCCAGTGTGACGAGCATTTCAGCAGAACCGAAAGACAAGTCAAAGACTCCCAGCGTTGCTGGTGAAACGCCTGATGTCAAGGATATTGAGAAGTCAAGATCTCCTAGCGTGACAAGTATTCCAGCAGAGTCTAAGGATATATCAGACAAGTCAAAGACTCCCAGCGTTGCTGGTGAAACGCCTGATGTCAAAGATATTGAGAAGTCAAGATCTCCTAGCGTGACAAGTATTCCAGCAGAGTCTAAGGATATATCAGACAAGTCAAAGACTCCCAGCGTTGCTGGTGAAACGCCTGATGTCAAAGATATTGAGAAGTCAAGATCTCCTAGCGTGACAAGTATTCCAGCAGAGTCTAAGGATATATCAGACAAGTCAAAGACTCCCAGCGTTGCTGGCGAGACACCCGATGTTAAGGATATTGATAAATCTAGGTCTCCTAGTGTAGCGAGCGTCGCGGATGAACCGAAGGATAAATCTAAATCGCCTAGTATCGCTGCTGAGGTGGTTGATTCGAAGGACGTGGATGTAAAAGAAACAGAGAAATCTAGGTCGCCTAGCGTTACGAGTGTTCCAGGGGAAGCTAAGGAGGTCTCGGATAAGTCAAAGACTCCCAGTATTGCTAGCGAGACACCTGACGTGAAGGATGTTGAGGTGAAAGATGCTGAGAAGTCTAGGTCTCCAAGTATACCAGCTGCTCCGGCGGAGACTGCGGATAAATCAAAATCACCTAGCGTTGCTGATGAGGCACCTGACTTGAAGGATGTCGAGAAATCTAGATCTCCCAGTGTAACAAGCGTTCCAGCTAAATCGAAATCCCCTAGCATTGCTGGCGAGACACCTGACTTGAAGGAAGTTGAAGCGAAAGATGTCGAGAAATCTAGGTCTCCTAGTATAACCAGTGTTACAACTGAGCAGAAAGAATCGCCGGATAAATCTAAGACACCGAGTGTTGCTGGCGAGGCACCTGACTTAAAGGACGTTGAGAGGTCCAGATCTCCTAGCGTCTCGACCGAACTGAAAGAGCCAACTGACAAATCAAAGTCGCCTAGCGTTACCAGCGAGAAAGCTGACTTGGCGGATATTGATGCAAAAAGTGGCGAAAAATCCAGGTCTACTAGTGTTGCATCTATTGTAGGCGAACCAAAGGAAGTAGCCGACAAATCAAAGTCGCCGAGCATCGCCGGAGAAGTTCCCGATTTGAAGGACGTCGAAACGAAAGAAATAGAAAAATCTCGATCTCCCAGCGTCACGAGTGTTCCAGCTGAGGCGAAGGATAAATCAAAGTCTCCCAGTATCGCTGGCGAGACACCTGATGTGAAGGACGTTGAGGTGAAAGATGCTGAGAAACCTAGGTCTCCAACAGTACCTGCAGAGACTGTGGATAAATCAAAATCACCTAGCATTGCTGACGAAGTGCCTGATTTGAAGGAAGTTGAGACAAAAGACACCGAGAAATCTAGATCTCCCAGTGTCACGAGCGCTGCAGCAGACAAGTCAAAATCACCGAGCCTCGCTGAAGAGGCGCCCGATTTGAAAGACATCGAGAAATCCAGATCACCCAGTGTAACGAGCATACCAGCTGAAGCGAAGGATGCGTTGGATAAATCGAAATCACCCAGTGTTGCTGGCGAGACACCTGATTTAGGGGAAATCGAGGCTAAAGAGGTAGAAAAGTCTAGATCTCCCAGTGTAACGAGTGTCCCGGCTGAGGGAAAGGAGCCATCGGATAAATCGAAATCCCCTAGCGTCGCTGGCGAAACACCCGATTTGAAGGATGTTGAGAAATCCAGGTCTCCCAGTGTGACGGGTATTTCGGTGGAAGCTAAAGAATCGGACAAGTCGAAATCGCCGAGCATCGTTTCCGAGACGCCTGATTTAAAGGATGTCGACAAATCTAGGTCTCCAAGTGAATTGAAGGACGCGTCAGACAAGTCGAAATCTCCTAGCGTAGTCGACGACGTTCAGAAATCTCGATCGGCCAGTGTAACGAGTATTTCGGCGAAGCCAAAAGAACGAACAGACAAATCGAGGTCGCCTAGTATCGCTGACGACGCCGCTGATTTGAAGGAGATCGAAGCTAAGGAAATTGAAAAGTCTAGGTCTCCAAGTGTGGCTGAAAGCGTTACGACCGAGTTGAAAGACAAGTCCAGGTCTTCCAGTATTGCTGGCGAAGCGTTGGATTTAAAGGACGCGGACTCCAAGATCACTGACAAATCTAGATCACCCAGTGTAACGAGTGCTCCGGCAGAGGCGAAGGATTTCTCGGATAAGTCAAAATCACCCAGCGTTGCCAGTGATATATTAGATTTGAAAGATGTTCCAGACACTGCGGACAAATCTAAATCTCCAAGTATAGATGTTTCAGCAGGGCTGAAGGATGCCACCGATAAGGCAAAGTCGCCGAGCATCACCGAAGAAGCAGTTTGTTTCAAGGAGTTCGACGTAAAGTCAGTTGATAAATCTCGATCTCCCAGTGCGACAGACGTCGCAGCTGAGCCGAAAGAAGCAACAGACAAATCCAAGTCGCCTAGCATCGCTGAGGAGACACCTGATTTGAAGGATGTCGATAAATCCAGATCTCCAAGTATATCGAGTGCTCCGGTGGAAGCCAAGGATGCATCGGAGAAGTCAAAGTCGCCTAGTATTGCTGGCGAGACGCCTGATTTGAAGGAGATTGAAGCTAAAGACACTACCAAATCTAGATCTCCTAGTGTGTCCCCAAGTGCACCAATGGAATCTAAAGATGCATCGGATAAATCAAAGAGTCCTAGCATAGTTGGAGAGACACCTGACTTGAAAGAGATTGACACGAAAGAAACTGAGAAATCTAGATCTCCTAGCGTTGCGTCAGAACCTAAGGATAAGTCAAAGACTCCCAGCATAGCTGGAGAGACACCTGACTTGAAAGAGATTGACACGAAAGAAACTGAGAAATCTAGATCGCCTAGCATTGCGTCAGAACCTAAAGATAAGACTCCTAGTATAATTGGCGAGACACCTGATTTAAAAGAGATTGATGCGAAAGAAACGGAGAAATCTAGATCTCCTAGCATTGCGTCAGAATCTAAGGATAAGTCAAAGAGTCCTAGCATAGCTGGAGAGACACCTGACTTGAAAGAGATTGATGTGAAAGAAACTGAGAAATCTAGATCTCCTAGCGTTGCGTCAGAACCTAAGGATAAGACTCCTAGTATAATTAGTGAAACACCTGATTTAAAAGAGATTGATGTGAAAGAAACTGAGAAATCTAGATCACCTAGCGTTGCTTTAGAACCTAAGGATAAGTCCAAGAGTCCTAGCATAGCTGGCGAGACACTTGACTTAAAAGAAATTGACGCGAAAGAAACTGAGAAGTCTAGATCTCCTAGCGTTGCGTCAGAACCTAAAGATAAGACTCCTAGTATAATTGGCGAGACACCTGATTTAAAAGAGATTGACACGAAAGAAACTGAGAAATCTAGATCTCCTAGCGTTGCGTCAGAACCTAAGGATAAGACTCCTAGTATAATTAGTGACACACCTGATTTAAAAGAGATTGACACGAAAGAAACTGAGAAGTCTAGATCTCCTAGCGTTGCGTCAGAACTAAAGGATAAGTCCAAGAGTCCTAGCATAGCTGGTGAGACACCTGATTTAAAAGAGATTGACACGAAAGAAACTGAGAAATCTAGATCTCCTAGTGTTGCGTCAGAACCTAAGGATAAGACTCCTAGTATAATTGGCGAGACTCCTGATTTAAAAGAGATTGACGTGAAAGAAACTGAGAAATCTAGATCACCTAGCGTTGCTTCAGAACCTAAGGATAAGTCCAAGAGTCCTAGCATAGCTGGTGAGACACCTGATGTAAAAGATATTGACACGAAAGAAACTGAGAAGTCTAGATCTCCTAGCGTTGCGTTAGAACCTAAGGATAAGACTCCTAGTATAATTGGCGAGGCACCTGATTTAAAAGAGATTGACACGAAAGAAACTGAGAAGTCTAGATCTCCTAGCATTGCGCCAGAACCTAAGGATAAGTCCAAGAGTCCTAGCATAGCTGGTGAGACACCTGATTTAAAAGAGGTTGACACGAAAGAAACTGAGAAGTCTAGATCTCCTAGCGTTGCGTCAGAACCTAAGGATAAGTCCAAGAGTCCTAGCATAGCTGGTGAGACACCTGATTTAAAAGAGATTGACACGAAAGAAACTGAAAAGTCTAGATCTCCTAGTATTGCGTCAGAACCTAAGGATAAGTCCAAGAGTCCTAGCATAGCTGGTGAGACACCTGATTTAAAAGAGATTGACACGAAAGAAACTGAAAAGTCTAGATCTCCTAGTATTGCGTCAGAACCTAAGGATAAGTCCAAGAGTCCTAGCATAGCTGGTGAGACACCTGATTTAAAAGAGATTGACACGAAAGAAACTGAGAAGTCTAGATCTCCTAGCGTTGCGTCAGAACCTAAGGATAAGACTCCTAGTATAATTGGCGAGACACCTGATTTAAAAGAGATTGACACGAAAGAAACTGAGAAATCTAGATCTCCTAGCGTTGCATCAGAACCTAAGGATAAGTCCAAGAGTCCTAGCATAGCTGGTGAGACACCCGATTTAAAAGAGATTGACACGAAAGAAACTGAGAAATCTAGATCTCCTAGCGTTGCGTCAGAACCTAAGGATAAGTCCAAGAGTCCTAGCATAGCTGGTGAGACACCTGACTTGAAAGAGATTGACACGAAAGAAACTGAGAAAGCTAGATCTCCTAGCGTTGTGTCAGAACCTAAGGATAAGTCCAAGAGTCCTAGCATAGCTGGTGAGACACCTGACTTGAAAGAGGTTGACACGAAAGAAACTGAGAAATCTAGATCTCCTAGCATTGCGTCAGAACCTAAAGACAAGACTCCTAGTATAATTGGCGAAACACCTGATTTAAAAGAGATTGATGTGAAAGAAACTGAGAAGTCTAGATCTCCTAGCGTGGCGTCAGAGCCTAAGGATAAGTCAAAGACTCCCAGCGTTGCTGGTGAAGTATCTGATCTAAAGGATGTCGACACAAAGGACACTGAGAAATCTAGATCTCCCAGTTTAACAGGGGAACCTAAAGATGTATCTGATAAATCAAAGTCGCCTAGCATTGCCGATTCAGGCGAAGCTGATGAAGCAAAAGGACCCGATAGTAAAAAGCCAGTTGACCAAGTGCCAGACAAAGAAGGGGCATTAAAATCGCCAGTGAAGCTGGACGATTTAGGTAAAGATAAATCGCCGTCTATTATCGATGATAAGTGTAAAGTATCGTCTGAAAGTGTTGAAATGGACCAAGCGTATATGGTCGACGGAGAAAGTACGATGAAGATAACGCCTGAGACAGAATCGAGTATTAAGAAGTATATTTTAGAAGAGTATATAAATAAGGGAAAGAAGATCACGATGACCGTGATAGAAGATATAGTTAAAACTTACACCGTCTCGGAGCTGATAGTGATGACTATCGTAGAGACAGTGATCGCAACGAAGAGGCTCAACCGAGACTCTGTTTTAGACATGTCCGAGCAGAAAATGGATCACTCGATAAGTTCCAGCGTGAGTTCCGAAATGATCGCCTCCGACAAGTCTACCCAAGACAGTCCGGTACGTTCCGAGCCGCACATCGACGAGGAGGTCTCGATCTCGGAGGAGAAGAGGATGGAGATGGAGAAATTCCTCGAGGAAGACTACATCAAGCGGGGTAAGAGGATCACCGAGGACATTCTCGAAGAAATCATCGTGAGGTCGTCGTTGCCACGGTACATTATCCTGGAGATAGTCGAGGAGATCATTCTGAAGAGGAAACTCGTTCGAGAGTCTGTGATCGATCCGGAGATAGATTATCAGGAGGACGAGACTGAGGACAGCTACGGCAAGGATGGCTATCGTTACGAGAAATCAATGGAGCTTAGATACGAGCCCGAGCACGAGGATAGGAAGATGTCCTACGATTACAAGACGACCGAGTATTCGGGATCGCGTGAAAGTCAAATGGAAACGTCGATGACGGATTATCCCGTGAGCTACGAGAGCCAGTTCCACAAAGCGTTCGTCGGCGGTGTGACGGAAATACGCACGACTCACATCACCACGCTGTCAGGGAAATCAACGCCGGACGTGACTCGCGACGGCACGCCTGATTCGATTTCCGAGCCCACAGCCTCCACGGTCGAGAAGCTGGAAGACAAATCCGCCGGTAAATCAACGGATCATGTTTCTCCGGATAAAGATGCCGTGTCTACGAGTGTCGATAGTTCTACCGTCACTACCACGGTGACGCAAAAGGTAACTACGTCTGTTTCAGAAACTGTAGATTCGAAGCCACAGGTCACTCTGTTGAAAGAGAGTAAAATTGGCGAACCGCAGGTGACGCACGAAACGGAGATAATTAGAAAAGTAATCGAATCGGACGTGGACACGAGTAAGCCTCTGTCCTTGGCGAAGCTCGAGTTCGAGGAATTGGAGAAACGAGTTGTCAAGGATAGAGAGGAAGTGGGAGATGAAGCAACAACCGAGGAGCAACAGGAAATTTCACCGGACGGCAAAGTGATCGTGGTTAAGAGAATCGTGAAGCGTGAGGTGACCGAAACCGACGACGAGCCCGAGACCATTCGCAAGGTTATAAAGCGAGAGATCATCGAGTCGGACGAGCCGATGGTAATTACGAAAGTCATCAAGCGAGAGGTCATTGTTCCCGAGGGCGGCGAAATCGACGATACGGACGATCTCGCGACGATAAAGGAGATCGTGAGCAAAGAGACGCTTCCATCGACCATCGAGACCGTGAGAACGGAAACGAAGAAGTACGTGATCACAGCCGGCGAGAAATTGACCGAGGAGACTCTAACGTCGGATATCCTGAGCGACGTTAAAAGAGCAACGACAACCATCATAGACTCCGATGGCAAACTGTCGAAAGACGCCATTGAGAAGCTGACAACCGAAGCGAGGAAACAGAGTGAAATTCTGAGCGACGAGGGAACCGTGATTAAAGAAACTACGATCAGAACGGTGAGATCGGAAGATTCAACGGAGAAGAAGAAGACCGAAGAGACGAGATCGGAGAAGGAGGAGGCGAGATACGCGCAGTTGGAGAAACATTCGGCGTCTCCCCTGGTACGTGATATTGCGTCCGACGTGTCAGGCAGATCAACGCCGGACCGAAGATCGGAAGGCAGGTCCATGACAGCGACTCCGGAGGGATTTAAATCGGGGGAGGTGATCAGAACGATCATCACCACGACCAAGACGGTGTCCGACGACGGAGAGATCGTGACGACCACTCGCGAAGTAACGGAAACTACCAATGAGAAAGGAGAGACTGTCGTACTGGCGGAGAAAGTAGACGTGAAGGTAGACGAGTACGTGCCCAGTAAAGAGCCGGGAGAGTCCTCGATGGCTCCTGACAGCCCACTCTTGCGTTCCTTGCACGAGAAGGAGAAAGAAACCGGCTTTATGAGTCGCGCGATGAGCAGCAGCGTCTACGGTGAGTTACCAACCGCGAAAGACCTGCCGTCAGGCGATAGTCCGCTGAAAATCGGCGAGTCGTCCGTTTCGACCGAGCACGGTGATTACTCGTTTAAACGTTTCATGGTGGAGAAAGAGTACGCCGGTGACTACAAGGAGAAGTCTGACCCGAAGAAGTACATCGACGAGGCGGGGCTCGACTTCGAGAAGGCTTTGTCGATGGAGAGGAAGGAAACGACTACGGAGACCACTGACGCGCAGGGTAAGACGATATCGGCGAGATACACGAACGGCAGTGTTCGCCAAGAATCGTCAGACTCGGGTGGCAGATCGGACGATCACAAGGAGAAAGACTCGAAATCCGACACGAAGAAAGATCCGTTGGATGGCTGGGGGACTCCGTTGGGACTCCCGTCTCCCATTCAGCCGCACAAGTTCAACTTGAAGAACGGGTCGCAAACGCCGGCGAGCACTAATACAAACGCGAACGCGAGTACGAATCCGGACAACAATCTCGGTTTGAACTTCGACGCAATCAACGACTGGGGCGAACCGTTGAGACTACCATCGCCGGCCCCTGTTACTAACGAGATCTCCAACAAGGGTACGCCTGGGACGCCGAAAAAGGAGAAGAAGCAAGCGAAGAAGGTGCTGTCGGAGAACATCAAGAATAAAAAACGCTCGGAGAGCCCGGGCAAGAACGAGAAGAAGATGAAGGATTCGAAGAACAAAGTACAACCGGTCTACGTGGATCTAACTTACGTACCTCATCACGGCAACTCGTATTACACGTCGTTGGAGTTCTTCAAGAGAGTTCGCGCGAGATATTACGTGTTCAGCGGTACCGAGCCGAGCCGCGAAGTGTACGATGCTTTGCTGGAAGCGAAGAGATCTTGGGAGGACAAGGATCTCGGTAAGTCCCGGTCTGATCGACGCCATCTTTGATCGAATCATTGGTTCTGTTGAAAGAGTCCAAGTTCCATTTTATTTAAAATATATATTATTTATGATATATACTTTAAATAAGTATATTTTATTACAGGTAAAAATAGAATATATATATTAATTGAGTTTCATTTTATTTAAAATATATATATTATTTATTTTAAATAAGTTCTAAAATATGTATTTTGATTAAATTTCATTTTATTTATAATATATATTTAAAATATATATTTCAATTAAGTTTCATTTTATTTAAAATATATATTATTTATTTTAAATAAGTTCTAAAATATGTATTTTGATTAAATTTCATTTTATTTATAATATATATTTAAAATATATATTTCAATTAAGTTTCATTTTATTTAAAATATATATTATTTATTTTAAATAAGTTCTAAAATATGTATTTTGATTGAATTTCATTTTATTTGAAATTATTTATTTATAATATATATTTTAGTTAAGTTCCATTTCATTTAAAATATATATTATTTATGATATATACTTTAAATAAGTATATTTTATTGCAAATAAAAATAAAATATATATTTTAATTAAGTTTCATTTTATTTAAAAAATATATTATTTATTTTAAATAAGTTCTAAAATATGTCTTTTAATTAAATTTCATTTTATTTAAAATATATATTTTAATTAAGTTCCATTTCATTTAAAATATATATTATTTACAATATATACTTTAAATATTTTATTACTTTAAATATTTTTATTATACTTTAAATATTTTTTATTTAAATATTATATTTTATTACAAGTAAAAATGAAATATATATTTCAAGTTTCATTTTATTTAAAATATATATTTTAATTAAGTTTTATTTAATAATATATATTTATACAGTAATAAATAAGCGGTGAACAAAAGTTTAAAAACTGATACGTTTGTACATCATATCGAGAATTAGTAACACTTGTATCACTTACGAGCTGAAGCCATCATTTTTCTCATCGCTGTCAAACGAAGATTGATCAGTCTGTCTAATGTGATTAATTTTTAATTACGCGATTAACGCAGTGATTTTTGTTCTTGTAGAGGTAACTATGATCCCAACTTACGATACCGATACTCTGGGCTATTGGGTAGCCGACAACGAAGAGGCTCTCGCTGCGAACCACATTGACCTTTCACCTTCCGCGTCCCGTTGTACGATTAACCTGCAGGACCACGAGACTAGTTGCAGTGCCTATAGACTTGAATTCTAGGGATTGGCAGCCTGCTCAGCCGTAATAGTTGAGTTCTGAGCGGTGTTCAGAGAGTGTGCACACGATCGCTTCGTTTCTGGACTTGCCGTTTCGCGAATTCCTCACCGTGCCTATTAGCGGTTCATGAAACTTTAGAGTGGGAGGGAAATGAGGGTGAATCTCAATGAGAAAGGCTACATCGAACGACTTAGACGCGGTCGTTTTACGATCCGAATTTCGTGCCTAATCCCATTATAAGTCATAAACGTACGCAGTTGTTCCTTGTTTTTAAATGCACAGGTTTTATTGGGTCGACCAGTTGTATTATCGCGGGCCACCGTAATATAATAACAGCATGTAGCAACAACAAATAAGCGACGAGCAAGTAACAATGTTAACAGCAACAACGATAACGACGATGACGTTGACAATGCCCCTTTCTCGCTGCTATCTATATTTGATCTCTATTTTCTTTGCTTCGTTGCTCTCCTCTAATAGTTGCATCGACGAGTACGATGAAACGAATGCGATTCTCTTCTTGATACACGATTCGCTTCGTTCCGATCTCTTTGCCGGTACGTGCGACAAAATCTCGACTTCCGAAAGCTGAACAAATCTCTGCGCTACTCTCTAGTTCTACGATGAACGAACCTGGCCTGCTCTCGGTTTCTTCGTACGCTTAATACACACGAAGCTTAAAGAAACGCGTATATTCTCGCGCCATTATCTTTTTATATATATATCTATTATTCTCGACACCATATCGCAGCTTTAAAAAGAACGTAGAACGAACGCTGAGGAAGTAGGAATACAGCCTGGCAATAACACGGACAAGACGTACAAAGATAAATAAGGATCAGAGTAACACGCGTGTACGCACGACGAGGGCGAAATGTTGAAATGGAAAGGGATTCTTTGTACATTTCTGTACGGTGTTTAAGCTCTCGACAAGATCACGACCGTTCGGATAATCCGAGCTCGTGTCCAACGACGATTTCTCGTCGCGAATGTCTACGACCGTGTACGTCGATCGGGAAATACCATTAGAGGTTTCTAAAAAGAAAACTTTAGAGATACTTGGTGCAGTCCGAATGAATTTAACTAACTGTAGGGTCGTTCAGATTGTCGGCGATTGATGTTCCATTCCAAACGCCACTCTCAAGTGGGGAGTAGGCGAAAACTAAACGAGTCTAAAAAAAGAAACTAAGAGTCTAAAAAGGGATTTCCTCCAGAATAACGAAGAAAGTAGAGGTGTATCGGAAGCAAAATTGAGACGGTGATAGATGAAAAGGAAAAAGAAAAAAGAAAAAAAAAAAAACGAAAAAAGAATCGTACAACATCCATCCAAATGAACAAAGTCCACGTTCGATAATCGTATCGGAGTGAACAGCTCTGTTTTTCACCGTTTCGTTCGTGTTTCGAACGCCATCAAACTAAGAAAAAAGAAAAAAAAATAAAAATAAAAAAGAAAAAGAAGAAGAAGAAAAAACAGAGTTGGTCGTTCCTGTGATATAAATCCGTTTATAGATATTTTTTAGAGAAGAGAATATTTCATTTGCCACGTAACGAAAAATACCACTTCCTAGAGGCGCGCGCACCGTTTACGAAACTAGACCAAAAAAAAAGAAAAAAAAAAAAAAGAAGAAGAAGAAAAAGAAGAAAAATCGTACAAGGGGGATTCAAGTTTCCATCGACTTGTTTCATTTTTTTTTTTCTTCCCCTCCCATTCTCGCGGGAGGGGAGAATTTGATTTCGGATATTTGCTTCCGGGGAAAGTTCAGTGTCCGACGCGTCTCTTTTACGTGTGTCGTAGCAAAGACTGTAAGGGAAAGAAGTTTCACGCTAGGGTTCTTTAAGAGAGCAGTTTAGTTCCTTTTGTACTTATTTTTCAACTGAAATACGACAAACTGCATTCGTACGGGGATGACGATGGCGCGTGGCGATTGCTCGAGCGACTCGGTAAGGGTGATGTATAATATATAGAATGAAATCGCAATGGTAATCGTAAGACTGCGTACACGTTTGTTATCGTGAGCAACACGTGTCCCTGTTCGTTTTAAAGAAAGTGACGTGCTACCTCGTGAACAAGCTTGAACGCTTTTTTTCGCACACCGAGACTCGATTGTCATCATGTTTAATGATACATTAATAGAAGAGTTATGGTTACATCGAACCGTATTTACTAACGAGCGTAACGATTAGTAAGATGGAGTAACAAATGTGTACGCATCTGAATGACAACGATGGAAAAACTGATAGAGTCACGATAACGGTGTGACTGTGACGATGATTGCGGTGACAATACCGTACGATAACGCCAACGAAATTATCATGATTATCGTGATAGTGATGGTAATGATGGTGACGACAATAACGGTGACAATAAGGACGATGACGATGACAACGACGATGGACAAAAATAGTGATAACGATGGCAATGATGATGATGATAATTTATAAGAATGATATGAAAATATAGGGACGATTTATGAGGTAGTAGGATGGTAATATCTTGCACTCGTTGTCAGACGAAATGTGATTCTAGTGCAGGTGAAAGAAGCAAACGTGTTTTCATCATTTTGTACAGATTATCAGGGTGACTAGTCATATTTGTGTGTTCCAATATTAAAATGAGCGTATGCAAAAGAACTTATAAAGACTGAAAGGAAAAGTATTTTTCTAACGAAGTTTAAATGTCGAAATACTTCTTGTTTTTATTTTTACGAGCTCTTTTGTATAATGCGCTGTTTATCTTAGAGCACACAAGTAGGGTGAACATACTGACGTGGACAGTGAATTCTAATTCGAACTGCGCGCGCGAGTCAGAGTAATTTTCGTAGAAAAGGTAGATTACGAGAGCACATGCTCGTTACGTTCGTAAAAAAAAAAAAGATAATCGTTTGATTCACTTTGTATATACATATATAAATACATATACGTGAAAATATGGGATAAGAATGTTGAACGAGCGGAAGCGACGTCGATAGACCCTGCCAGAAAATCAGTATCGGTGCATTCGGAAATTCAAGTTTCAAATAATTCTATTCGCTGGGAAAATTCGTCGAGAAGAGAAAAAGAAAATTCCAATAGAAACGATAAACTATGACGATATATGCAAAAGCACAGAAAAATCGTGTATAGTGAAAAAGGCCTACAATATGCATAGGTTCCGATATACACACCGTACGAAAAAAACGATCGTTCACGTAGAGGAACCAGGTAGAATTAAGAAGAAAACAACGTACATCCTGCCAATTATGATTGATATGATAGCTCCGGGTCCAATAAATGCTCTAGTCTGTAAGTTCCTTTTTTCTTTTTACTGCTGAATCACTGCAGTTTCTTCGTTGATACACACTTATTTGTTCCTTACTTCGTTCGTATGTGTACACCACATCTATAATAATGTTTATTTGTCAGATTTGTCACGCCTTCGTCGCAGTAATTTAAATTATAAATAAAATAAAGCGAACAACTCTGAATATTCTCTGGCAAAAGATTTGAGGAAAGTTTGGTCTAAACGAAAATACGTTTGCTGTGTGTCATTTCTTCTCTTGTTATTATCATCGTCGTTGTCATTACTTATTGCTATAATACCACCATTATTACTAGCATCACCATTACTGCTACTACTGCCGATATTTTCATTATTATCATTGTCATCATTATCATTCATTGTTATTTATTGTTCTTCTTCTTATTATTACAACACCTATCGTTATGATTATTGTCATCATCATTAATAAGCACATTATACCATTATAAATTACTCGAGCATTATCGTGTCGTTACAGTCATCATCTCGGTCATTGTCACTATTGTCATTGTCATTGTTGTTGTTGTTGTTGCATTGTTATTTTTACCATCATCATCAGCATGGTCGTATCGTCATTGTCACCATCGAATCATCGATCGCGAACGAGAACTTTGTTGCTTGTAACGAGAAGAAGAAGAGAAAAGAAAAGAAATAGAATGAAAAGCGTAAACTGAAGAAAGAAACGCGAGGCGAGAGGACGGTAAAATGCGCTCGATAGTCGATAGAAACCATGTGTGTACCTATGTATTTTATGTATTATTTATCGACGAAACTAACGATGACCAGCTGTTTAGGTAGGATATTAAAATTATCAAATTGAGTGTGACGAGGATGATCGAAAACGAGTAAACAAACAACAGACGTTGTAATAATTAACATTGGGTGAAACAAAAGCGGAACGATTAGGATATTTGCGCTTGTCGCTCGACAAGTCGACAGGAAGATGAAAAAAGGGGGCGAAAACGAAAAAAAAAGAAAAAGCAGAATTTAAATTAATGAAAAAGAAAAGAAAAACCGAGAGGGTGAGATGCGAAGAAAAAAGAAAAAAAGAAAAAAAGAAAAAAAAAGTTAAGAACGAGCTTTCATTAAGACAGTTTAGATTAAATATAAAGATGAACAAAAAGTATATATATATGAACACGTATACACGCGCGCGCATACACACACATATACACACACAACCGCTCATACATACATACGTATACACACGCGTACATGCATACGATACAGAATAAAATATACATATAATATACGAGTGGAAGGGACAGAGAAGACATAAAAAAAAAAAAAAAAAAAGAAACTAACTAGGAAGAAATTTAATTCCGGGAGAGACAAGATGAATAAACGCGAAGGATAACGAAGTGCGAACCTCAACACCTGTACGAACCCCTAAATCGCGATGCATAGAAACGGGTGTGAGAACGGTGATACGGTTTTATTTGAACTATCAACGTAGGAGACCGTCGTATGGAATAAATATTGTTGTTTCGTACGGCCCTTGACACGTATCCGACACTCGAGCACATCGGAGTAAGCGTATCGCTCGGTCTTGGCTCGATTTTTCGTACTTCACGCGACGACGTGTTCGCTGCCGAGTAGAGTATACCTATTGTCGAATAATCGAGCGATCGAGCGAGTCGAATGGAGAAAAAGAAAAAAAAAAAAGAAAAATGGGACGAAAAGGGAAGGAAAGACGAGAAAATGAGAAAAGCAATCGGTAATGTTAAAAGAGTTTGTTTACTCCGCGCGAAAAATATCGGATACGCTAATGTTCTAGTCAGATGAAAAAAATCTCGTTTCCTAATATTATAAACAGAAAAAGAAAAGAGAAAGAGAGAGAGAGAGAGAGAGAGAGAGAGAGAGAAACCATCTAGTCATTCTTCTTCACAGTCGATTTTTCTGCCGTTACGAGACTGCGCCGCAGATCATGAAGACGAGAAAAGGTAAAAGTTTTTTCACAATTGTATTTATTATTACGAAAAAGGTAATCGCGGTTCTCACCCCTTGAAGCGCATCGGCGCGTCGTGTTTTTTCGAATAACGAATTAAGAAGAAACCAAAAAAGGAAAAAAAAATAATAATAAATAAATAAATAAATAAAAAAAAAAAGAAATAAAAAAACTTACTGTGGAGTGTTCATGGTGCTATGATTACTATTATTATTATGATTATGATTATGGTTATGATTATGATGATTATTATGATTATTATTATGATTATTATTATTACTATAGAAATAACAATGTTATGCTATATGACAAGAAATGAATAATATAATAAATATACATTATACCTTAGCGATACTTCTTCCCTATCACGTCTCTCTCTTATTTCCTTAAGAACTTGTCGATTATCACAGGGTGTTACACGTCCAGAATGTTAGTTTTGTTCAACGATTGAAACATAAATCTAATTTTACATGTCAATGTTCCTGGATTTGAATCAGATCTAGATTTTTGCCAATTGAAACTTGCCTTGAACTTGCCTTGACGTCAGTTGCAACGTCACAGAATTAAAAATTAAAAAAATATTTTTCATTAAAAGAGTTTTTATCGAAAGAAGCATTTTCTTTTTTTTTTTTTATCATTTTATGTATTAGTAAATCTGACCAACTTTTGTCTGAAACATTTCTGTGAACACCTTGTATATATGTACGTTTGAAGAGATATTTACTTTCAATAAAATACATTTCGCTCGCGTCGTTTAACGAAAGTAATTTTTCCTTTTATTGAAAAATAAATATTTTCACTTTGCAATGTTATTATTGAAAATGTTACATAGTTCACATAGATTACATTGTATTGTATGTGTGATTTATTGGCATTTATAGAGTCTCCATCAACGACTTGGCTCTTCGTAGCTCTGCAAAAAAAAAAAAAAAAAGAAGAATGAAAATGAACGAATGAGTTACATACATGTTCGCTTGGATTCGCTTTTTATTTTGGTGACACCAAATAATAATTGAACATAATCAGACATTATTTTGTCAATCAACGATGCAACTCAAAATAATACACTTATTGGAAGAAAACTAATAATAAAATTCATTTATAGAATACAACCTAGTGTATAAAATACAAATATATAATAATGAAATATATTTATAGAATACAACGGGAACAAATTTGATCACGTTCAACTCTAATATTCAAAATTCAAGTCGTACAGAGGCCAAATGGATTGTCACCTTTTTTTTCCCATGAAATTACAGCAGTTCAAAGGTATCGACAATTCTTCGTCGTTAATTCGATTATTGGAATTTTTATTTTCATTTAATTACACGTCGAACTCTAATACTCACCTGTCAGTAAAACGTGGACGTCCTTCTTTGAGATGTTGATAACAGAATTTTCTACGTTTCCGTCCAATCTCTTCAATTTCAGAGAGACCGTGGAGAATGGCGAGGAATTGTCACAGGACAGAACCTCGATCGACGATAATCTACTAACTGAATGATGAATTTCAAAAAAAAACTTTACACAAAGAAGAAACCACCATTGTCAATTATGCACGAAATTAAAAAGATAATGTTTAATTACCTCTCAAGGACTGAGAGGAGAGCGTAGCCGTAATTTGAGGACAATGATCCGTGTGTAGTCTGGCAATTGCCGCGCTATGCTCGCGTGGCAGCCCGAGCTGTTGCAGTTCGCTGCTTAAATCAGCAGCCGAAACGGCATATCGTGCAGACGATGTGAAAATTAATTCGAGAGCCGCTACCATGGCCTTTGCGTCGTTCAATTCTCCAGAACGAAGAACGAATAACGATGAGAAGAGGGGACAAAAAAAAAAAGAAAAAAAATGAAGACAAATTGTCGTATGGTAAAATTAATAGATCGATTCTTAATTCAGACGTCTATTGAATGAAATTAACAGAAATAAAAAAAACTGATTTCTGCGCGCATGAGATGCAAAGATAATAAATATAAGCGTACGTGTATACTTACTGCTTGTATGTGTATCAGTGAAAATCGATTTTACTTACCGACCTTAGCGTCTTGAGTAATTTTCCTGACTTTTTCTTCCTTGGGAAAAAAAGAGAAAAATAACTCTGAGAACGACTTCAATTTCCCAGAAATAGCAATAATCCCAGAAGCAGAACAAATAACAGTACGAAGCTACCTTTTGTTTGTTTGTCTAGATTTTAGCGTCGAACGTGCTGACGTTTCTTTTGAACGGCATCGCACAATTTTATATCGCAATTTTGTAACTTTAATCCGCGGATAAAATCGATTAGAGTGAAATGTTTACGAAAATTAAAGTTTACATATTCATGAGAATTCGAATTTCTCTTTCTTCAGAAAATTGAATGTTTATCTTTTAGATGGGAATTGTTGAGATCTGATGGAAAATTAATTTAAAATACAGATTAGTACTGTGGATTAATACTTACATCAAGATCTCCCTCGGTGAGATACTTCACAACCGTTTGACCTAGTATCTTGATCTTAATAGATGTCTGTGACCAAAGAATTGAGTTAAGATACCAAAAAATTACGGTGCATTCGAAATTGAAAATCGTACGTCAAAATGAAATCATACCATACGCGACAACGTATTGATCTCGGCCAATAACCAATCGGGGCAATCCCCATCGCCCAAGAATCTGAATTTCTGGAAGAAAGAAGAGAGAAATAAAAATCAGAGCACTTTCATAAATTTTCTGTTTCTAATTTTGCATGCTTTCTACGATAATTGTATCCATTTTCGAAAACCATACTATTACTGCATGGTTTATAGTTATAATTTATAAATTTGTAATAGTTAATTTATAACAATTTAATTATTTTTATAATGGCCATCTCACCATGATTTACTGATTTCCTCGTAAATATCGGACGTCTCAATTCCTGAATCTGGAACAAAAATCGACAAACACTTGAATCAAGCAGTATAACGAGAAAAATACTTAGCTGAAGAAGAAATTGAAAGAAACTGGATTATAATTGAAAACTTAAAATCCTGCTCAAGTGAATTCATCTTAAATGGATAAAAGAATATTTTAGTACTTAGTAATTAACATTTGATTAAAGGGAGCTTCTATAGCTTCCTCGGAATTTCTTTTCGTAGCTCTAAACTGCAGATTATTATGCAACTATAGAGGATACAAGGATGCAAAAATGGAGAGCAGGATCCACATAAAATAAATACATAAAATAAATAATAAAATATATCCAAAGTATAGTATCCCCTGTAAGGCGTAGCAGGCAAGAAATTTCTTACTTACGCCCTACTTTTCCAATTGTATTTATAAAAATATGAAACTTCGCGAGTGTCTGTAGTCTAGCAATAATTTTCTAATTTTCATTGACGTTTCAGAAGATTCTAACAAAGGGAACAGCATCAAATATAAAGAGGACTTAAATAGGCGCCCTTGGTTACCTCCTACTTGTCTCAGTTACACAACATATTATCACATTAAACACAAGTGCGTGTTCTTTCTCGCGTCATAACGTTTTTACGGTTATATGTACTCACTTACTGTGTCTTCCTGTGACGCAGTGAGAAACAGGGTACCATTCAATCCCTTTTCAAGTTGTACATTGTAAATGCTCGTTTCATTGAACAATAAATATTATAAAGTATCATGCATTACATGTTAACAACAACACATCTTGATAAAACAAGTGAGGAACGATATATAAAAATATGGTAAATCTATTTTTGATGATTTCCTGACATTTATATTATTCAATGATTAAAAGGAGTATTATTAAATGGAAGTATGAAATAATTGAGGAAAGAAATATCTTGATAGAAAATAAACAGAGAATATCCTCTTGACAGTTCTGAATGAATTATAATAATTGAATTAAATTTAAATTTATAAATTATTAATTTAAGTGTTAAGTAATTTAAATTTATAAATTGTAATATAAAATTTCTAATATATATATCTCAATTATAATGATAATTGTAAATATTGGATCAATTAATATCAGCCGCAATATTTTTTAAATTTCCAATATGAGTCAGTCTTTCTTCAAACGTTCAAACGGAAATAAAAAGATCGTGCATTTAATTTCAAGCTCAAAATTATTTTACCATAAAATTAATCGATGCACACGTTGAATTTATAAATTTCTTATGCAATTTATCACGTTTCTCACCACAATCGTCCAATCTTCTTGGTATAATTATCCTGACAATATCCTGGATAATATGACCGATTAATTGTGATAATGTTAACAATTGTAAAATTGCAACGATGATCTTTAGAATTTGACAAATTGTAGAAATTCACGTGTCACGTCGTATCTAGACATGTAAATCATCGGATCGCTGACGAAATGTTAAAAGTAAAGTAACCTTTTTCTATCGTGACAAGCTGGTGACTAGCGTGAAACGCATTTCCCCTGACAACAGGAATTTTTCAATGAAAGAACAAGAAACCTATAACCCACGGTCATCGTGATGTTTGCGTTTCTTGGCAGGGAATTCCCTATACAATTCTTCTAATCTCTCGACCGCAACGAGGTCGCCTGTAGGATTCGCGGAGGAACACCATAAATACGGGAGAAACGGTCCTTTCCAATTCATTCTTCGCATTCGACTCGTGGTGCAACGACGAAATAAGTGCTACAGTTATCGTTACAACGCAATAAAGGTACGCGAGTTTCATTCTAAATGCGACTCGTAATTATTACACGAAACACATCTCCGTAATCAAACGAAAAAAGTTTCGAAATGAAAAACTTTAGGTTGAAATTAAAATTTGTCACCTTGATATTTATCAGAATAATTACATGCACGATATCTTTACGATATTTTCTCGAAATTTAGATAAGTTTATGAATTTCACTTTCGAGGATTAAATAGAAGTTTTGTCTCTAGAATCTGTCCTTCAGAGAATTGAGAATACCAAGTTTCGATTCTGACTTCTGGAATTAAGAATTCGTGCATTTTGCATGTGATCATCTAATCTGAAAGGATATTAATCAATCCACATTGTGCTGTGTGATATATATATATATATATATATGTATTATATTGTGAAAATTTGGGCTTTGTTGAAAACTGTAGATCGAATTTTAATTTTGGGTTATTTAATATTAACTTAAAAAATAAAACGAAAAGAAGGAATATTTTTTTCACTTAATACTTTCAGTTTAAAAATTTGTATCGTTCGAATAATTGCAAGCAATATTATACACGTATAATTATATTATAGTACAATTGTAATAAGCATTGTATACTATTGAGTGGACTCTTCGAATGAGATCGAAATTAAATTGACAGTATTATAATATTATTATTATTATTTATCATTATTTATTTATTAAGAAGCATTAGCTCTTAGGATATAGGAATGCAGAAACAAAGAAGACTACTTACAAGATCATAGTATGATTTTACAATCTGTACAACTATATTTTACATTGTTTCATTACGTATAGGTCGCAAATATTCCATCAGAAGTCGATGTAAAATAAAAAAAAATGAGTACTTTAAGTATTTAAAAATTATGAAAAAAAGTTGTACATCGTAGCGATATTTCAGAATGTAGTAAATTGTAACATCGATCTTTATTTGAGGTTTCCATTCAATTGTATAATCATATAACGTATGAAGCAGTATCGTACGTAATTCTATGAAGAAATAATTACGACTTAAACAATAATTTAATATTCTATACATTTTTTCAGAAATGAAGAGATTACAAATTGTATTAGTTTTCTTATCAGTAACGACGTGCGGTATCCGAGCGACAAAGACAGAGGACACTTCTACGGTAATGCCACACGAACTTGTTGCATCGTAAGACTTAAACATTCTAATCTATAACGTATATATATATATATATATATAAAAAGATGATATTCTCACTTTTCACTGAACGAATTTATTATTCTTTCCTTTTCTTTCCTCACCGTACGGCGTACTTTGAATTGTCACTTGTGAATCCTTCTGCATTTTAACGAGTAAAACTCTTTATAAGTTTACGCCAACTCGTTATTAATTGCGACAAGAAGGAGACTAAAGAAGGGAAGAAAGGGGAAATATTCGCATGTGCCGGAAAGCGTGCGAAGTATCTCTCTAGAGTCGCGTTTCATCGTCTATGATACTTTTTGCTCGCTTCGTACCAACGCGTCTGCAAGGAATGATTTTTGTTCTACGTTTAAATGTCACGATCGTTCACCGCCCCCGCCAATACTTGAAATATATATTTGATATATATTTAGACAAGCGTGGATAGCGAAGCGACGCCAGTGTTAATTTCGGACGTGCATTGCTTGTGGAAGCACGGGGGACGTGTGTCGCAAGATCGACCGATTTGCATCGAGATCGATGACGATTCTTTACGAGCGGCTGCTAAATCATCGAAACTCGCACCTTTTCCAATAATCAGGTAATCAAGAAATGTGTATTTATACATAAGTTGTGCACACTATCGTCCATGAATTATGATGCGCTTGCTATTTAAATATATAATGTAACAAGATCTTGGAAATTTAATTGTTTTTATACTTAGATTTTATATAAATACACAGTGTCACGATACATTTGTGACTTTAAATATAGATTTCGATATGATGCGATAGGTCTCTGACAAGATTTTTAAAGCGTGGTATAACTTCATTTTTCTTACAATTAGATATTGACTTTCATGCGCTTATCGGAAATTTAAAGGTGAAAAAATGCGGATGACGTTCATGTATTATATAAAAATCTAAAAATCGTACAAAATCGTTGACGATGAATCATTATAATATTTAGCAAATACGAAACAAATCCCTGTTTATGTTCGATCTTTTTTAATTTCGTTGGTAATTAAAAATATAATGTTTTACTAATTAAAGATCTTTACACCTCGTGATAAAAGTATGAATTTTACTGAAAATAACATTAAAAACGTTTTAGTATTTACAGATTTTACCTTTTGAAAATTCACTGCCTACTTATGATATTCATAATAAACTTACAATACACTTGTTAACAAACACCAATTTCATTTTGTAATTACAACATCCATTTATTTTTGATTAATTCCTAAACGAAATATGCTTATGGATACTACTTCTACTTATTATTACTATTATTTATTATTATTATTATTAATTCTACTTATTACTGGTTCTTATTATTATTATTAATTTTATTTATTACTGGTTCTTATTATTATTATTATTAATTCTACTTATTACTGGTTCTTATCATTATTATTATTAATTCTACTTATTACTGGTACTTATTCCACCTATAAATGATCAAAAATTTTATGAAGGTACATGGACCCGAGTGGCAAACAATCGCAACAGGGCACGTCGAATCTGGCAAAGCGATTGGAAACCGAGTACGTAGAATGTATCCTGAATCCTGCTGTGTTTCGCGAATTATTGGAAAGGGACATTGTTTCGTGTAACTTGAAGAGGCGTTACCATCGTCGGCAACTAGGCTGGAAACTGCAGAATCCGTTCTACGTGGAGGAGCCGAATTGGGTCGAAATAAATAACGACGGCAGCGAAAATCATTCGCGTCATAATCTCGAAACTGTCGATCCGTACATCATTTCGCGAGGTAAAAAATTTCGCGAAAGATTAACGAACATCGTCAACGACACGAGAAGCGGAGAATCGTCGATCGAGTACGAAGATCTGCGTGTAATTCTGGCGGACAACTTGAAAATGACGAGAGACAAAAGATCGACGAACTCGAATTCACGGCTCGAGGCTCTGAACGAAAGTAGCGATGATCACGACGACGGTGACAACAGTAATCGAAGGGATGAAAATTTAAAAAAGACAGACAAAGAGAAAGAGCGCGAAAATTTGAATGATGACGTGGCCGGTGATTCGAAAATAAATTCGAACACGCGACTCGAAGAATATAAAAATAAAGAGGACGAGCATTTAAAAGATACAAAGAGAAGATCTGCCAACGATCTGAAATTAACTAACAACGAACATACATTGTCTGCAGGGCGAGATAGAAAGGTGTACAACGAGCAGAAGGAATATTTGAAAAGTGGGGAAATCGAAAGTGGTGAGTCGACGTTTAACAAGCAGAAGGACAAGCGTGGATTGATTTTGAGAAAAACGCCGTACAATTCGGGGGACGACATAGTCTCACGTGCGATTTACACGCCAGAGGAGACACCTCGCATGCCGGCCGAACTGGCTACCGCTTCGGGGAATGCGATTGGCGAAGAGGGTAATTCTCTTTTATTTCGAGTGAAACGTGACTCGAACGATGTCGTCGTAAAGAACATTGCGGTCGAATCTGCGTACCGGCCAAATCGTATTCGTGAAACGACCAATTATTCCGAAAGAGAGCGAAGGAATGGTATTAGAGGACTTGATGTTCTGAACGACATACTCGAGCAACCCTACTTCATTTCCAGGGGCAAGAAAATTAATAACAAAGAGGAGAAAAAGATATCATTCGAACGATTAGAGCCAGAAGAACCAAAATCGACGATGGAAAGGATTATAGGTGGAGAAAGGTTGAGAGAGGATTTGAACAAGTGTAGAGATCGCATGAACGAAAGAGAGAAGAGGATAAAGGGATTGGAAGACGATTTTGGGATCGACATGAAGGGACTCGTTAATCTAGAGCAACCTTACTTCATTTCCAGGGGCAAGAAAATTAATAACAAAGAGGAGAGAAAGATATCATTCGAACGATTAGAGCCAGAAGAACCAAAATCGACGATGGACAGCATTATAGATGGAGAAAGGTTGAGAGAGGATTTGAACAAGTGTAGAGATCGCATGAACGAAAGAGAGAAAAAGATAAAGAGACTGGAAGACGATTTTGGGATCGACATGAAGGGACTCGTTAATCTAGAGCAACCTTACTTCATTTCTAGGGGCAAGAAAATTAATAACAAAGAAGAGAGAAAAATAACATTCGAACGATTAGAACCACAAGAACCAAAATCGACGGTGGACAGGATTATAGGTGGAGAAAGGTTGAGAGAGGATTTGAACAAGTGTAGAGATCGCATGAACGAAAGAGAGAAGAGGATAAAGCGACTGGAGGACGATTTTGGGATCGACATGAAGGGACTCGTTAAACTAGAGCAACCTTACTTCGTTTCCAGGGGCAAGAAAAATAATTACGAAGATGACGGAAGAATATTCTTTGAACAATTGAAATCAGAAATGGATGATATTATAGGGGGAGAGAAGTTGAGCGAAGCTTTGAGATGTGATTTGAGTAAGTGTGAGGACCGTACGAACGAAAGAGAGAAGAGAATAAAGGAATTGGAGCATCATCTTGGGATTGAAATGAAGGGGATTGTTAAAGAATTGTTGACTAGCTTTGATCCTTATTATGTGGCTAGAGGTAAAAGAGTGTTGCTACCATCGCTGAGCGAATCGTTCTGATTTAAAGTAAACTGATCCTCTAATTGCAAATGCGACCGAAGTTATTTAATCTTGCTCGAAAAAATTGGAATCATTTTTTTGTAATGTACTGGTCCGTGTTTTTTTGATCGTTGTCAATTTGAAATACTCATTTTGCCATTGAAAATCTCAGATTCTTCGGTTCTGCAGGCTTACAAGTGTAATTTCATATGAAGTAAATTCGATTCTTTATACTTAAACGTTGTGATTGATCGTTATTAAACGAATAGTTAAAAATTTAATTGTATCAAACTTGACACAATGTACTGTACGTCATCGAAACAGCGTTGATGAGAAATATTATCATCGTAGGAGATGCTAAAACGAATACACCTACAAACGAAGGATGTTCAACGTTGCGAGGAAACGTATCGACCGAATAAATCTACTGACTGGACTTAACACAGCGCAATGTCACTCGTTTCAACCGTGATTTCAAGCAAATTATTTTACTTTATCATCACAATTACACGCTTACCTAATGCTCGCCTACTTTGTAAGGATCGCTGCACTTACGTCTGAACGTAACGTCTGCATCCACTTGAACCGCTATCCCTATAACATACGTATATTTCTAGAAACGAACCTTGGCCTTGTTTGCTCTTACGAAAAAAAAAAGAAAAAAAAAAAACAATTGGCGATTCGAACGAATTTCTAAAAAGAGAAATATAATTCATTTATTTTTTATAATTCATTATTCTTTGATTGAATGCTCGGTGATGTTAGAATTCAAAAAATGATCAACAGGCTGTTGTTCTCGTTCGCCTTTATGCTCGTTTATTCATCGTCGAATTTGACGTTACGCATAACTCGGAGCTGGAATTTACGACGTAATCTCTCGCAGCGCTATAGAAACGCATTTTTAACCGACACGCACATATGCTACCTCCATCTTTCCTCTACCATTCACTTTGTCATTGTATTCTCAAAATGTCACCGTATCTCACAAAGCGTTTAACAAACCGCTGCCTGCTCTTTCGTCGAAGTTTTTGCTTGCAGTTTTTGCTTGGTTTTCAAAGGAACAAGGATCGTCATGGAAAGATACATAGAGTCGGTCATAGTAGTATTTGCATCCTTGAAATTATTGAATTCAAATTGGGTCTTTATCAGTTGACGAACACAGTTAAAGAGATGAAAAAGAATTCATTGAAAATCGTAAAGACTTTGTGGACAAGTGGATAAAAATCGACAGTCTACTTGTGAAAAGGTGTGTTCTATTGTTCTGTACAATTTGCCTGTGTTCTTCATTGAAAAATAAATAATTTATTGTAATATACTGGGAATGGCGTTTCCGATCCAGTATCGTTGCTTCTGTGACTCATTGCACAAACATCTCCGAAACTTATCACGTACGATATCGCGTCCATGGATACGAAGGGGTTAATTAACCAAACGATAAACGTATTTGTTTTTCCAGCGAGTGTGGTTTTGAATTTTAGAAAAAGCGCGTTTTTATAACACGAAGAAAATTTCATTCGAGAAACGGGGGTGTACACACAGGCACAGCAAAATTATAACTAAATTATTTGACGAGCGAGCCGTGTATTTATTTTAATAAATAAATATTCATGTATAAATATTTCGATATTTAGATTATGAATAAATCTGAATGAATATATTACTCTAAAGCAAATGTCGAATTATTGCAAAAGGAAGAAACGACAGGTCGCGAAAAATTGAGACTGATAAATAAAGGAAAGATTTTATTGAAAAAAACAAGTCAAATAGTCGGAGATAGTCAATCGATATGCAGAACCCTACAATCTTGCGGATCCTTGCGAAAGAAATGATACGTAAAGAAATCCAAACTTACGTTAATAAATGTTCCTCGATTTCACTCGGAAATAAGAGACGAGACACTATTTATGTCGAGTGATACAATAATCCGCAACACGCTGTCGCAATTATATTTTTTCCAGGACGTGGATTTAATAACGTAAATAGAAATTAACATACAGCAGGAAGATGCAGAGAGAAAAATAGAGAGAGAGAGAGGGAAAGAGAGAACGAGAGAGGTATTAAGCGTGAACGATGATAGCCAACAGGAGTGAAAAGGATGGTTAAAAAATCGGGGTTGCTCTTTGGAGAGTGCGCTGCAGAAGCACATGGCGGGGTATAAGAAGAGCTGCGCTTCAGTTTCTAGTCTCACTGTACACCTTATTTTACCAGAGCTCGCAAGTGTCGCGCGTACCATTCTGACATATTTATTTATTATATATAACGTATATATTCGATAATATATATAGAACGATAAAAGGGAACCGGTGGCGGGACGATTTTTCGTAATCCTGTTGTGTGAAATACCAATCGGAACTGCCGATACTTACGTTTCAGCAGTGGAATACGGTACCTGTGTGAAAGGTAAGCGACAGTGACAAATCAAAGTAACTCTAATTAATTACTTTTACATCGTTATATCGTTTTATTAATTCATGCACAATAAAGCGTGAAGCTTTAATTAAAATTAATGAGAAGCAGAGTAAATTAGCGAGAGTATTTAAATTCGAAGGGAATTTATTATTGAAAAAGGAACCGCATTAAGAAAAATGAAAGATATTTTAAAATACGGAAGGATATTTGAACATGCCTTTTAATTTGTTATTAAAATTACACATCGCGTGAAGAGTGGTCGCGTCTGTAAAACAAAATTAATTACATTGAAAATTGATCATAAAATTGTTGATTTATTTGATGTTTTCAGTCAACCATTTATAGATTTATTTGGCATTTAGTTCAACCAATGAACCAATAGAGCCAACAAAGTCATTTCGCTTTTTTTTTTTAAATTGTAATTGTTAAATCGTCGAGATTTCAAAAATTAAAGTTAACTCGTTGATTTATTTCATTTGTTGCGTGTTACACATTATTAACAGAAGAGTGTCAATTAAGAAACTGAATAACGCAAGAATGATGTGTATTTCTCTGAAGCAAAAATTATTTTAATTATATTGATAACAGCTGTCGAGTACGAGTGATTTTTCGAAAATTGATCCGACTTTTTTTGCTTGGAGTGATAGAATATTTGAAAAGTAAATTAAATTGATTTCTTCTGCATTTTTTACATTTAATACAAGGATAGTTTGTAAAAAGATAAAGGAAAAAAACTGAAAGAATTTGAAACTTGAAGACAAATATTTCAACTGAAAAATTCCCTTCAGTATACTGAGTAAGACACCTACAGGAAGTAAATGGTTTGTGAAAAAAAAAAAAAAAAAAAAAAAAAAAAAATCGCGTGAAATCTAGAAAATTCGGATCGATCGAGAAAAAAAAAAAAGCAGCTGCTCCGAGCATTAGCGTACGTACCTGCTCAATATTGATGGCGTTGGCGCGCGCGCGCGTACCTCGCTCAATGATACACACGAGCCCTACCGATAGAGTTTGTACGCTCGCTCGCTCGCACACGCGCGAACAAAACGTGTGGTGGAAACTCACTGACGGAACGGTGAGGCCGGTCCGTGGCCTCGCGTCGGTAGTACGCTCGTAGATCGCGATCCACGGGTCGTTCCGCGGGGACGAGCCGCTCAGTCTCAGCTCGTCGGCCGCCGTGAACGGATCCATCGAGCACGCTCGGTCGATCGCACGGTCAGCAGCATCGTGTTTACTTCCGGTCCCCCCTATCGTGGTAGCGCAGCGCAACCGGAAATGTTGACGAAACGAGCCAGGCACGGGGGATGTCGCACCCGCGTGCCAACGCTCCTCTCCTGAAAACACCATCGTCTCTCTCGAAGCCAGGGAACTTCCTCGTTCTCCAACAACCGACGATAATCCCCTTTCTTCCCCTCTCCTCTCCTCTTCTCTTTTTCTTCTTCTTCTTCTTCTTCTTCCTCCTCCTCCTCCTCTTCTCTCTTGTTTTTTTTTTTTTTTGTTTCTCGTTTTCTTTTCCTTTTCTTCTTGTCTCTCCCTCCCCTTTCTCGTTCGCGCGGCAGCCTTGGCGCTGGTCCTTCCTGTCGTTGTCGGTCGCGTCCTCGAGGACGGTCTCGCGCCTCGAAACGTGATCGGCCGGTGAGGACAGTGGTGGTTCCATGCGGTCGCACGTGGAGGATTATCGTCGGCTGTTATCGGGATATAGAGGAGTGTACGGGTTGTTGGTGAACAAGACGACGACGACGACGACGACGACGGCACAGCTCGTGAGGCGGCTGTTGGTTTCGTCGTAAAGGCCAACCGGTTCGACCGATCGGGAAAGGTAGGTGCCTCTGACGAACTCCGTGGCAACGTTTCGTTCGGTCCTATTTCTTTTCTTTCTTTCTTTCTTACTTTCTTTCTTTCCTTGACTATCGACTCGTGCGTAAATTCGTCGGTAATCGCCAAGTTCTTTCGAATCGGTTCTCTCTCTCTCTCTCTCTCTCTCTCTCTCTCTCTCTCTCTCTCTGATCGCTCGATTGACAGGCAACGTTGAAACGATCGCGGTTGTCATTACGATTGTGGCTCTGTACGTGTGAACTATGGTTCTCTTGAACTCCGCTCCTCGATCCTCTGTATTCGGAATTTTCTGTAAGTACTCGTTGTTTGTTGGCTGTGGCTATTCCAATTTCAAATCTGACGATTAGTCAGTGTTATAAATCAATTATCCAGTATATTTGCAACGACGAAATAAAATTCTCCGAGCATTGAATAATGATTGACTGTCAAATTTATACGACCTGCCTGTGAAATTATTATATTCTATATGCCTCAGTAACAGTGCAAAGTTAGAGAAAATTATAATTTAATCGACCAATTAAATTAAAAGACGAATTTAAAACAATTTCAATTGATCCAGATAATATTGCCATCTCAAACATTCTCGTTGATCTTTGTAAAATATTTCTACGGCAACTGTCGAATCTGTAAATTCGTCGATTGTTTCTAAATTTTTATCTATTTTTCTTACAAGCAAATACACGAGTAAAACCCACTGTGCAACACACCGTTACGACATTTAATCGTTACGTTTCCTCTTTTCTAATTACACTCGAAGTATGAATTTGCATAAAAATCCGTCGTCACGATCGTCACGCAAGAAAAAAAGAAAATACCAGTCGAATATCGACAGACCACGCTCGATCCGCTCTGCGATTCGCGGTGAATCTCGAACGACCGCGACTGGTCTTCCCTTTAATTAGACTGGATGGGGTTGCTGATGCTTATCTGGATGGGAGAGATCGGCTCCGTAAGTAATTGCGAGCGTAATCGGGAACGTGGATAAATGAGATCATTCTCCACTGAGGTTGAGATCATTCCGTAGCGGCGTTACGAGCTTTCGGAACCGTTTTTGTTCTTACAAGTAAGCAACTTGGGCCACAGTTACATTGTACACGGACGAACGAATTAGAAAAAGAGCCGAACGCGACGCGATCATTCGTACGTTATCGTACGAGTTCGTTCAGATTCGTTCCATCCAATGATTTGCTGCGACCAAATAAAAATTTACACGAGTGATGAATAAAACTTGCTAAAGGTTTCTGTTTAATAAAAGTTACAACAGGTTTTCCACTTAGTGAAATTACGTCAAGATAAATAATAAAATGCCAGGGATTGGGTTAAATATTAATATGCGAATATTACGTTAATATATTCGTTGTAATTTATTCGGAATATAATTCAGTTTTTACATAGATATTTATATCGAATGAATTGCTCCGACTAAATTAATGTACTCGTGCATTCAATTTGAATCTCACTGTAAATAATAATATTCTAACTTGTTGTCAAAGTTTACGTTCTACATTATAATATTATAAAATCTATATTATATCTATATTATAATATTATAACACCTATATTATATCTATATTATAATATTGTAACATCTATATTATATCTATATTATAATATTATAACATCTATATTATATCTATATTACAATATTATTATATTCATATTATTGCACATTGTGATTTATTTCAAATTTCTCCGATCAAATTAATACGTCTCGCGCATTTAATTTTTAACATCACCGACTGCTTCTTTAACCTCTTGCGCTGGACTCACGTGTCACTCACGTCGAGAACTTTTTCTTCCAAAATTGTAATATTTTTTCAGTACATTCATGTATAACCCAGGCAAAATAAATAATAAATCTATTACTTCTCAATAATTTCTATCCAGTGACATCATACCGACGAAGCGTCATTCAAAAAGTAAGCGACGATATTATTGTATACGGTTTCGGTCACTCGTTATGGTCCGCAATCAGTTGCCAGCGCAAGATGGTTAATTACACTGTGCGATCGACAGAACACGCAACTGTTGTAATTCGTTAAACAAATTCGTCGCATACGCATCGAGCGTAACCGTGAAGCTTAGAACATTCTCTTTTTCCTCTCGTGTTCCTCGCGGCGAGAGTGACCGAAGGAATTTGGAAATCGTCTTCCAAGACTAGAACGCGCGAAGAGATTACACACGCACGCACACCGCGAAGAGAGCCGATTTCACCTGCGTGATAATGACTCTGTCAAACAATCGAAGTTGTATTATACGAATTCTTTTTCTTTTTTTCACGTCGTGTCTCCGAGTCTTTTGTTACGTGCGTGCGTTTGACGTGTCACGTCGATCAGTGACGCGGACGCGGTTCTTATTACCTACAAACGCATGTTAAACCGTGTTGAACCGTGGAAGAAATCACACGATCGATACTACCACATCGTTGGACGTAACGAAGCGGAATTGTCAGGCGGGCATGCCTTCCCAACGATCGTTAACTTCGGGGATCGTTAACTGCTCAATCAACTCTGCCGCCGAAGAAACGCCTCTTTCTGCGTGGACTCACCGAGGGCTCGTCGAAATATTCGCACCTCCGTGTGAGCACGTAATGTTCATTTGCAAAAAAATTGATCCCCAAAGTCAGAGTGATCAAAATAGATTTTTATTCGGTAAAATTGTAAAATATAAAATCCCGAGGTTTCAATATTACGGTTAAATATTAATCCACGAATATTAGAGTAATATCGTTGTAATTTAATTTTTATTATAATATTCTTTAATATTATTATAATATTATAACAATGTTAACAATGTAATGTTATAATATTGTAATTTATAATTTTATTATAATGTTATAATATTGTAATATATATTGTATTACATTCTTTTAATTTTATTATAATGTTATAACATTGTAATTTAGTTTTTATTATAATATTCTTTAATATTATCATAACATTATAATAATATTCTTTTAATATTATTATAATATTATAATAATATTCTTTTTATTATAATATCTATTACAATATTTATGTTATGAAAAGTATCGTTACACATAGTAATTTATTTCAAAAATTGCTCCGATCAAGTGATCATATTCGCGCGTGTAATTTGAATTTTTATTCTAACGAAAATACTTTTGTTTGCAAAGATCGTCGACTATACGAATTTTGCATCGAATATACTAGTTACAGTTCAAACATAATCAACACTATAGGTTACACTAGGTTATATTTCATTTAAATCATCGTAATATCGTGATCAACGATCGCGATATCTCCAAACGCAAAGAAACCAATGAAATATCAGGCGATCCTAGACAATGTACAATCACTGTCACACTTTCTTGAATCAACGAATCTTGATCGACCATCCTGATCTAAAAACCTCTTGCACTTCGTTTCGTTTTTCCTATTTATCTCTCGGTGTCAAATTGATACGTGGAACAGATGAGGATCAACATTTCCAGCTTCAGTCCGTCTCCCAATCGATAACAAAATAATTACTCACTAGAAATTGTTACAGCATGTCAGAATTAATTTGCCACAAACTCCTCGTTAACTGTCAGGGATCTTTAGAAAAATCGTATATATCCTTTAGCAACTCGAGTGGCTGATCGAACTTGTTCAAATCCACGTGATATCGTTATCGTGTGAAATCAGAACTTTTGGACTTTTCATGGTTCGATCATTTGAAACGAAGATTTGGCCAATGTCCAAAGGGGAGATTTGGCGTATCTCGCGGGCGAGAGGGAAGCGAGAAAGGAATCGCGGAACAGAGGGAGCAGGTGCTGGCGCTACACCTGTCCTCAGGCTGAGAGAGAGAGAAAGAGTGAGAGAGAGCGAGAGGGGGAGCCCGGAGAGGGCCCAGGTTGTACGCGGCGTTGGCCGCTGCCGAGCGTCGAATTCCACGGCGTTTACTCATTCCAAACAACGAACCCGAGACCCAAGAAGACTCGCTGGGGCCGGAGCCGGGGCCGGGACGAGTGAAACCTCGCCGGCCGGCGGCGCTGCTGAACGCATGAGAGAGAGAGAGAAAGAGCGAAAGAGAGCGAGAAAGTGACCGGGCCAGAGCAGCTTCCTCACCTTCTAATATTAGTCCGATGACTCACTATGATTCGATCCTGTCGCGTTCGTCGCCGCGACGAACAGCGTCGTATCGAGTCCGTTTGCCACGGCATTGCTATCACACGGTTCGCGACAAGAGACGCGAATTCGCGTCTTTCAGTTTTCAACTGTTGCGGACGAGTGACGAGATATCTCGTCTTTCAACGTTGCGGACGGGGAACGCTATTTTGCGTTGTAAGGGATACAACCACGGATCAAGCAACGTTACATATAATTTATATTATATGATATTTTTAATATTATTATATTAAATATAATAAATATTATATTAAATATTATAATTAGTATATGTATAAATATTACAGTATAATATTTATACATATTAGTATAAATACTATAGTATAATATAATTTAATATAATTACATTAAATATAATAATATTTTTAATATTATTATATTAAATATAGTAAATATTATATTAAATATGATAATTAGTATATGTATAAATATTATAGTATAATATAATTTAATATAATTGTAGTATAATATAATATAATTTAATATAATATTTTTAATATTATTATATTATATAATTTTTATTATAATTTATATTATATAATATATTATATTGTATATTATATATATTATAACATAATATATGTATATAATATACAATTATACATCATATAATATTATATACAACATGTAATTGTATATCATATAACATTATATATAATATATAATTATATATGTTATATAATTTTTCAAAAAGTAGAGAAATTATTTCCTAACGCACCACTCTAAGAAACGTTGCCAGAGATATTTTCATTTTATGTCATAAAATACCTCTAAAATGAAAAATAATTTAATTATTAATAAAATAATACACTTGTTAAATTCTATACATTCTCTTAAACCCTTTCAATCATAT